GGGTTTCTCCAGTCTCCTTTAGGCCAGTAAATCTGGTCTTTTTTTTGTGAGTTAGAATCTACATCCTTCTCCAGCTCTGGCCAGAGCCCTCTGTTGTGATCTTGGTCAGAGCAGTCAGTGGTGGTAGCCGGGCACCATCTCGCTGTACTGGACTCAGTCTGGTGGAGGCTGTGGTAGCTGTGGTCCATTAGTCCTTCAGGTGGAGATTCTTTTGAATAGTATAGTAATGAGGCTTTATCATGAAATATCAACTAAAATTCTAAACTTTTGATTCTCCTCACAGATTTACCATCAAGTGACCGGAAGATATGCAGCTTACCATGATCTTCCAATGTCTTAAATCAGCAACCAATTATGGAAAAGTTCTTCACAACAATGTTTAAAAATTATTTTTCTGCATAATTGCTAAAATTATTTCATTAGAAAAATCAGGGAATAGGTAATTCACTTTTTTGCCTTTAAACTGTCACTGCAGTTAACTCAAAGAATGAAAGAAAGAAAATAAACAAACTAATCCACATGTAGTGCTCATTGCAGGCACATCTGAAGTGGTCTTAATTCCTGAAAGATCTGTGCTATTAATTTTGGGAAAGATCTTTCCTAAAAACTCTGAGTACACTGTTAATGATAGCTTGGACACCATTAAATTCTTAGGGGGAAAAATGTTAAACTGCCCAAGAGCCTGCTGTAGTAGCAAAAAAAAAAAGCAACATCCTTGAACAACTACTGTACCCTAATGACTTCGGAGTCACTAATTCGGCACCCATTTCCTCCCATGAAAATCAGTCTTTAAATTGTACAGTGGCTTTCTTTTTTATTCAGTGTTTTGCTAATGAAATTTTTGGTATTGTTATATGAAACTTTGAATATCAATGAATTTTTTTAAATGAAAAAAGTCCCTGCAGTTTATTTTAAAATAAAACAAAACAAGTTTTAAATTGTAACAAAGACATGTTGAAAAGTTAATCCCTTAAACATACAAAGAGGTTTTGCCAATGACTTTCTGAATCTCTCTAAGAAATTCTACGAGTATATTTCTAAGAGAAAGCACCTCAGGAGATCATCAGTGAGTACAATTTATGTATATAGTCTGAAACTCCTAGGATTTTCTGGTGTATTGAGTAAGGGGAAAAATAGCAAACATTAATATAGCGCTTAATATGTGCCTGGCACTGTTCTATATACATACATCAGCTTATTTAGTGCTTATTTAATACTTACAACAGTAAGGTATTTAATCCTTATAACAATAAGTGCTAATATTATCATCTTTATCACACAAGTAGGAGCCTGGGTGGTGCAAGCTGTTTGCAATTGGCTGTTAACCTAAAGGTTGACGGTTCAAACCCACCCAGCGGCTTTGCAGAAAAAAGACCTGGCAATCTGCTTCTGTAAAAATTATGCCAAGAAAGCCCTAGGGAGCAGAAGATCTATAACACATGGGGTCACCATGCATCAGGGGCCGACTCAAGGGCACCTGACAACAGCTCATTATATAGGTGAGGGATTGAGGCCCAGAAAATATAAGCAACTTGCCAGAGGCCAGGAGCCCTGGTGGTGCAGTGGTTAAAGTGCTCGGCTGCCAACCAAAAGGTCTGCGGTTCAAATCCACCAGGCGCTCCTTGGAAACTCTATGGGGCAGTTCTACCCTGTCCTACAGGGTTGCTGTGAGTTGGAATCGACTCATTGGCAACAGGTATGGGGATGGTAATCTGCTTTGTTGTTTTCTCAGTTTCTTTGCTCTCTGTCTCTTCGAACCTCCCTCCTGCCTCCACCTTTTTTGCTTGCTAGCACCTCTACCACATTATAGAACCTAAGTTTCCTTAAATGCTGATTTTCATCAAAGAGTTAGTCATTTTTTCCTCCCTGAGCGACGGTCCAGCCACGTGTATGCAAACACCCTGAACTGGGAGTGAGAGGTTTTGGTTTCATCTTCTCATCTGCTCAGTTCCAGCCCAAACTCTGCCACTGTGACCTTGGTCCAGTCAGCTCGTGTTTCTTGACCTTGGTATCTTCATCTGTAAAACAAAAGGGTTGTGATAGGTGATACCAAGGTTCTTTCAGACCTAATATTATATTACTCTAAAGATAATTATAACAAATCCAAGAAAATGTTTTATGGCTATTAAGAGAAAATACTTTGGTACTAATCTAAATTAGAATTTGCCTCTCTGGAGTCAGTTAAGTAAGTCCCTCAAAGCGCCTCTCTAACTGTGAATGAAATGCCTAAAATAAGGTGTAAAAGAAATCCGCTTTCCCCCAGTGCCTTAGCAGGATGCTAAACCTTAACTTGTGCCTTTGGATATAGTCAGTGGCTCTGAATGCCACATCCAGCTTCATAATATGTTGGCCTAGGTGCCCACCAACGCCATGACCAGTCACCTTTGCAGAAGGAACATTACAGAAAAATAATTACTTTCCCTCACCTTTGAAGCTATTCCAATTTCACAGGGGTTTCTGTTTTCCTCCCATTAAACTCAGGTGGTCGTTTTAGTTGATCAAGTGAACAGGCATCATTATCTTCAATTTTAATTTATATGAGGCATCCGCTGAAATTGACCTCTGCGGACAATTATAGATTCACATAGGAAATTAAGACTGGTGAGTCCCTCAAACCTATTAGAGGCTGATGAGCATCGCCTCATCTACAGGTAAGTAATGTTATATTTTGGGGGACAATTTATTCCAAGGACTATTGGGCTCTTCATCAGGGATGTCTGCCCCTTCTTACCCGGCTCTTGAAATCAACTAATATAGATGACTTTAATTTGAAGCTCCTGGTAAATTTTGATTGCTATGAAAGCGTAAGAGGAAGAGGTCATTTCTGAGGTGACCATCATTTACTACAAGCAGATTTGTGTGCTTCAGAACACTGGGAGCAGATGCTTTATACAATCAGAAAATGAGTTGCTGTGTTCTGTGTTTGAAGCTTCTAAGTTAATAAAAACAACCACCCACAAATTGTTGGAATTGTTCAATAAAGCATATTAGGCCTTAATGTTATTTTTTAAATAGTCACATAACTTAGGGGCTTAAATGAGACCTTAGGGAATATCTAGCTCAACCCCAATCATTTTTCACATAAAAAAAAAATTCAGGGTGCAAGGTCACATAGAAAATCAGAGCTGAGACCAGGACCCTGATTGTCCCTGCAGCATGGAATATTTTGTAAGAGACAGCCAGGCCTATGAAATTAAAATTTTCTTGCTTTTTATACACCCTGCGATACCTAATATGTTTGTCAGCGTGTAAACTTCAGACTGTTAATAGACTCACTTGTACCAGTAGAAGTCTTCTGAATGGTGTTTTAGAGAAGACCAACCATCAAAATCTAGCCCAAATGAGACATAGTGCCGTTCATTTCTTTACTTTTTTTTTTTTAATTGTACTTCAGGTGAAGGTTTATAGAACAAATAGTTTCTCATTAAACAGTAGTACACATATCGTTTTATGACATTGGTTAACAACCCAACGACGTGTCAATCCTCTCCCTTCTCCACCTTTTTTTTTTTTGGTGAAAATATACATAGCCAAAGATACACCATTTCAAAAATTTCTACATAGTGCAGTTAATTTCATCTCTTAGAATTTCTTGGCAGTTTCTTAGAGAGCCCAAGGACAGAACAGATAAAATACACTTCTACTCCATCCTACTTAGTTCTGCCAAAATATGTTAAAGAAAACTATACCCCAGCTAAGAACTAGTATTTTTCATTTGTACAGATCCTTTCTTCTGATGCTACAGTTCTAAACTAAGCCCCAAAATCTGAATTTCTGAATTTTGGGCCATCTCTAAAATTAAAGAAAAATTAAATAAACTAAAAGAATAAATTATTTTTAATTGAATGTTGCTTTACTTATATAAACTATCAGCCAGGGGGCTTGCTTGGATTCTAGTTTGTCTACAAATCACGAAATAGTTTCATGACTACAATATCTTTACCTCATTCTGGATTATTTCAACACTAGCAGGAAATTAAGACAAATCAGTTCACATAGAAACTAGCTTCTGAGGAGGCTTGTGCCAAAGTGGGAACTGTTACAGATATCTGGAAGTACATCTTCACAGCAGCGTGATACAATCTCTGTCCTGATAAGCAGAACAGTTTGCTCTGTCATACATACATGTCATACAGAAACCAAATCTGCAGAAACCCAATCAGTGTCTTTGGAGAAATCAATTTACTAGTACAGAGGAAAGCCAACATTAATTTTTCTTCATCAACCTGACAGTTTTTTTTTTTTGTTTTTTTTTTGATGCGACAGTAGGGCCGGAATGCAGAGATATAAAGGAGAAGAAAGAATTTGAATAGATCTTACCTTTAAAGGAAATGAAATATTATGCCAGTTTTGGCCCTTGGAAAAAGGTGTGAGGTGAAGTCAATTTCTACATTTGTTTTCCCGTTCTTGCTCAAGAGTCTTGCCTCCCAAAGGAAGATATGTATTTTACAACCATCACCAAATGATCCTTTTCAGAAATGACCACAGGTAACATCTGGCTGGTATATAAAATATGTAGTAAAAATAATCATTTTTAATTAACTAAAACCTGCTCAGGAGAGAGAGTCAGAGGAATATCCATCTGGTCAATTCCTATTTAATAGGGCAAATGAGGATCAGAATGTTTAATGCAATATACGTGAAATACTTAGTGACCTTACAGTGAACTAAAACTTTATTAGGAAGAAGAACAGGAGTGGGGAGGAGGAAAATTAGAATATCGAGAGAGGACAGACATATAATTTGATTTTTTTTTTTTTTTTAAAAGTACATCTCATATTGTAAAACTTAGGTGGTATATAAGAAACCTAGATTTCGTGGCATTAGTTTCAATGGTTCAGTGTCAGGAAATGTTTTTCAATTCATTTGAACAATAAAATGAGGTTACACTTTATTCTGGAGATTGACAAGGAGGATGAAAAGTTTTAAAATGTGGTTATAAGTAAAGGGAAAAGAAACTGGGCTTATTTAGTCTGAGAAGATTAAAGGGTACTTAATGCCTGACAGTCTCAGGAAAAGTTATGTCTGTATTTCATCTTAAAGTCCCTGGGTAATGAAAGCAGTTCGCATCCAACTACTAACCTAAAGTTTGGCGATTTGAACCTACCAAGCAGCGCTGCGAAAGAAAGACCTGGCGATCTGCTGCCATAAAGGTAACACCCAAGAAAACTCTACAGAGCAGTTCTACTCTGTAACAGATGGAGGTCATCATGAGTCAAAATTGGCTCGAGAGCAGTAGGTTATGGGTTATATTAAATCTTCATAAACAACAGTTCATATTTTATTTCCTCCGAATAGGAAGAAATGAATTCATGCTGTGTGGAGCCCTAGTGACACAGCGGTTAAGAGCTTGGCTGCCAACCAAAAGGTGGGCAGTTCAAATCCACCAGGCGCTCTTTGGAAGCCCTGTGGGGCAGTTCTACTCTGTCCTGTACGATTGCTATGAGTCAGAATTCACTCGATGGCAACGGGTTTTTTTGGCTTGGTGAAGTTAGGTTAGTTCCCAGGAAGAACTCCCTTAATGCTCTGGAGTGCGTTAAGAGGGTATCTCTTGCTATTCCCTTCTCAGAAGTAGATTCTCCTTTGATTGCAGTGGTTTAGTTGTGGTGCCAAAGAAGGTGGCTCGCAAACTTGAGCTCACATTACGATCACTAGGAGAGTTTATAAAACACAGAATATTGGGCCCCACTCCCAGAGTTTTTAATTCAGTAGGTCTGCAGTGGAGCTTGAGAATTTGCATTTCTGACGAGTTCCCTGGTGATGCTGATGCTGTTGGTCCAGAAACCACACTTTGAGAACTGCTGGATAGAAAGCCTTGTACTCAATACCTAGATCTACGATTCCAAAGTAAGCGCATCCATTAAACAGTAAAATCCACCAGCTGCAGCACTTCCTTATCATGAAACTTAAGGATAAATATATTCTACTGCTCTTCAGAGCCAAGAACAAAAGAGGGAACAATGGAAATTACCTTATCCCTTAATCTTTTTATTGTAGGCAATGAGCTTGATTAAGCTTTGGAGCCTAGAAGAAACATTTTAGACAAGTTTAGAGTCATTATCCACAAAATCTCCAAAGGATCTCAGCACGCTGTAGAAGTAAGATTCAGCTGTATTTGATTTTCCCTATTTGGAATGCTTTAACTTTTGGTGATGCTGGTATAGTTGTACTTAAAACCAAGAACGATTTTAATGGAGTCCATTCTTTATACTTGGGATAGATAAGATGTTCTAGGAAGGGGATGTTTCACAGATACTTAGTTAGTTTGAAGCTAGTGTGTAGGTGATCTCTAGACTTGGGAGCTAATAAATCATTAGTTCCTTGGTCTTTTCAACACTAAAGGATTTTTTATATTTGTTTTTTTTGCTTTTTAAGTCTGTGCTCTGCCACTACTATACATGGTTAGGCAGGGTTCTTAGTTGCAAACAACCGAACTCCCTTTACTTAGTTTAAGCCGAAAATTTTTTACTTTGAAAGCATGTTGAATATTTTACAGGTGATCCAAGATGGTCAGATAGTTGAACATAGAGGGAGCCAAGCAACAATGATGCCTGAACTACCCTTCAGGACTGCTCTGGTGAACTGCTGCCACCTCTGGGCACCGGCCACCAAGGCCTCTGCTTTCGCTGCCCCTGCAGGCTAGGTCTTTCATTTACCACCGTGGCCAGAGATTATTCTCCTCTGCGTCAGACTCCGGAGTGGAGTGTCTGATTGTTGGAGCCTGGGTCACATAACCTGCACCCTAGCTATAACAGACTGAGAAAGCACGCTTTGGCCTTCTTGGGGGAAGTGGGACATAGTATTCAAAAGATGTTAGATGTTCGCTCATGATGACAGTTGTCAGCTGCAGTATAACCAAGGGGTACTGGTAAGGTGTTTCATACTTTGTTGTAGGAAGGCGCTCATTGCTCCTGAGCGGTAGCCCACCGCCAGTCTGTCTCTGAAGCTGAACTCAAGGCAAAACCACCGCTTGTCTCTCGGGCCCATACATTAATTCTGGAAAAATCCTAGGAAGTCTGTCTGTTTAAAGAGATTTTTACACTCTCGCCAGCAATATGTGACAGTGCCTTTTTCCCAAAATGCTTCATCCTCTATTTTTCTAGACAGTTATCTATTAATTTCCTACTGTGAGGATAAAAGTAGTTTTTCCCCCTTTTTCCACCTCATCTTTCTCCTGAACTCACCTGATTCTTGATGATTATATAATTTTTGTATCATATTTGAAATATGAATTTGAATACTTTGAGTAACTTTATTACATAATTTATTAGCTTCAATAATCTTTCTCTCCTCTGTTCTGCAGGATGAGAAAATCAGCATATTGGCATCACCTCTCACTTTCTTTTCTCCTCCCCTCCAAACCTTTGCTATTTTATTTCTACATCGTTAGAGTTCATAACATTTTAATTCTGTTCTGTGACCATAATCTCCACCACTGTTTGTCACAGTCCTACAGTTAAATGGAGTCCATACCCATGGCCAGTACTTTATTCCTCTGTTTGCTTTCCAAAGTTTGACCTTCAAGAGGATCTTAGGGACTGTATTTCCTAAATTTTTGCAAAATCAAAAGTGAAGGATTAGGGAGGGTCTAGGCTAAGCAACATCAGTCTTAAAAATCAGAACTGGCAGAAAGATCTGTTACCTGGGGCTTTGCAAGCCCGGGAGAGTGGAGAGAAGTCAAAGTGAGAGAAAACCAAAACCAAATCCATTGCCATCGAGTTGATTCTGATTCACAGTGACCTTATCGGATAGAGTAGAACGGCCCCATAGGGTTTCCAAGACTGTAATCTTTATGGAAGCAGGCTGCCATATCTTTTCTCCCATGGAGCCACTGGTAGGTTCAAACCGCCAGCCTTTCAATCAGTAGCCGAGTGCTTAACCACTGAGCCACCAGGCTCCTCAGCGTGAGAGAAGAGGCTCTAAATGTGCCAACAAAGGCTCCGGGCTTGGGATGGATATAGGGACCCAGGTTTTAAGTAGAAGATCACAAAATAAGATGCTAGGAACTGATGGCTAGTCAAATCGTGTTGTCTAGGACAGAGACAATGATAGGCCTGTGTGTTTTCTGTGTATCATGATGGCACATAGGCCTGGACCTTGTAAAGGGACAGGGGCAGAGCAGAGAGTCTTATATTCTTTTTATTATTTCTATCCTTGAAGAGTAAGCCCGTTGTAACCAGCTTTAAACTCTTACAGCATTCAGCACAGTACCTTACAAAGAGTAGGTGATCCACATTTATTTGTTAAATTATGTAATAACTATTACTTCACGTAAATCCGGACAAGGTGTGGTTATAAGATGAGACTGAGCCACAAGACAAGCATAAATAGGAGTGCCATACAGGTAGGCACAAGGATAGCTTTGCTAGTGAATGAAATTCCAAAGTAAATGCATGGTACATATTTTATAGGGGTTTTTCATAGAATAACCCCACCTTGAGTTTGATGCATTTTAAGTTTTTGGGAAAATGATGTATGTTACCAATGGCTTCTGTAATTTCTGTTAAAGCTCACTGGATGAGTTGCAAATATATGAAAAATGGTTTGGGAAAACAATTTCTATTCATTAAGCTGTTTGTTTTGATAGGTAAAAAAGCACATATCTTTTTTAAGCTATGTTTATTTCATGTTTTGAGTGGCAGCAAAAATAATTGCATGTTTGAAATCTTTGAAATATGTTTTAATGCTTTTAATATAACTTAAGAGCAAATGTGCCAAATTCTACCCACTGCTTAAGCCATTCCATGCTTGAAAGTTAGTTTCACATTCCAAGCTTTATGGAGCTACTTAATATGTCATAAGATTATGTCTTTTAAACTGCAGTCAGTGTCTGTACCTGGTGGACTGATTAGAGCATTTGTCACACCTAGAGCAAGGTTTTGCAAGAGAAAGATATAACGGTTGTGTAAATGCTTGACTTTGAGCTTTAAAAAAAAATGGATATGAATATTTTTGGATAGAATAAATAGAATTATGCAAACATGGTCTTATAATAGGATTTCAGTTGGTAGATTCAATATGTGTATGCCTGGTATTTATGCTGAGAATTAGTTTTCAAAATAGACTAACTGCCTTTCTAATTTAAAAACTTTTCTGTTTTAATGAGACAAGATATTTAAAAGAGTTTGGGTAAGGTCTACAGAATTAGGACCCAAGATCAGTGCCCATCATTTCCTGAGTACCTATTAAATGTATATTTTAAGCCATTGGGAAGTCCTGGAATTGTAGAATGGTGCTAATAATTGATCCTTTATTGTGCACTTGTTAGTATGGGGTAGGTACTCTTCTAAGGCTTTTATATGTATTTTCTCTTTAATCCTCACAGCAAACCTATGAGATAGAATTATTAGCCTCATTTTACATGTGAGCTGATGGAGGCATAGAGAAATTAGGTGACTTGTTTTAAGGTTACACATATAGCTGGGATTTGCTCTGGCTCCAGTGTCTGTGCCTTTAACTACTGTGAAATACACTGTGCCAGGCAGTCTGGTAAAATGAGAGGCTTTGTGCCATACTTCCAAGAAAAGGGAAACTCACTAGAATTATAGACCTTCAGGGGATAAAAACGGACCCCAGAGTCATTTAGTCTAACCATCCAGCCAATGATCATGCTGTCAAGCAGTTTTCAGGCTGCCATGGAGATGGGGAGAAATAGCAATGCAGGAGAATCTCTATAACGAG